TCTATTTCTTAATATTAATGATAACATTAAAAGGAATCCTGTGTGTTTTGTGCAATGAAATCTAATACAGTGCCATAAATGTCTACATTCTTATGTTCAGGTTTTTATAAAAGCACATTTATTGTGTGTGGTTGTACGCATCTGTAATCCCAGCCCTTGGGAGGCTGAGGCAGAAGTGTCATAAGTTTGACTCCCACCTGGGTGACTTACTGAGACTGTGTCTCGAAATAAAGTGCTGGGTGTGGTAGTGCCTTCCTGGAAGTCCAGCATTCAGGAGGCTGAGGCAGGAGGATTGTGGGCTACAAAGTGACTTCAAGGCCAGCCTGAGATACATAGCGAGACCCTGTGTCAGAAAGACTTTAAAACAAAACAAAACCAACAACAACAAAAACACATGGGCATACATTTGGTTCAGGACAAAGGCCTTGGGTTCAATCCCCAATTTAAACAAACTATAAGGCTTTTTGTTTCAAAGTGGGTAGTACTGTATTTGCCCAGGAAAGCACAGCTTTAATAAGCATGTTGTGTGTGGTGGATGACTTGTACAGTAGGCAGGAGTGGGTGCCGTGCTTTTCCAGCTGAAATGCACAAATGTCTGTCTTCATCAGTGCCTCAAACTTTCATATACTTAATGAATCACCCAAGGATCTTGTTCAGATTCAGATTCACGTTTCAGAGGTCTGGCATTGACTGAAACTGCAGGGCTGCCTCCTTTTTGTAGCTCAGCTTGGCCTCAAACACACAGTCCTCCTGCCTCAGCCTCCGGCAGTGATGTGTGTGGGCAGGTGTGTGGCTCCACGCCCAGCTGAATTGTGCCTTCCTGGCAGGCTCCTTGGCAATGCCAGTGCTGCTCTGTGGATGATCTCGAGAAGCGAGTTTCTAAATCAGTTCTATTTTGCTTTGAACGCAGGTGCTGAATCGGTTCTCCTCAGCCCCCCTCATTCCACTTCCAACCCCTCCCATTATTCCAGTACTACCTCAGCAGTTTGTTCCCCCTACAAATGTTAGAGACTGTATCCGCCTCCGGGGGCTTCCCTACGCAGCCACAATCGAAGACATCCTGGACTTCCTGGGGGAGTTCTCCACAGATATTCGTACACACGGGGTTCACATGGTGCTGAATCACCAGGTAAGAAAGGCCCTTACTGGAAAACATTTGCTTTTTTCCCTGGAGGTTGAAGGCTCTCTTTTTACTAAAAGTGCAAATACTCCTTAGTTTTCTATTAAACCTTTAGGAAAAGCTGTTAACTGTAAATATAAGAAATATTTGGGATGTACTCCAGCAAAAATGTTGCCATTTATGATAATTGAAGTTCAGTGCTTATCCCTTCAATGCATAAAAAGTCCATCCTGTTATTGGTAGCATCAGGTCAGAGTCAGTTGGGTTATCAGTGAACACAACGTTTCCCACTATGCCTACTGAACTCTGCCTGTGACGCTTTTTTATTTTTTTACCCCCAGAACCGTGGATTAAACACAGGCCCTTACACTTGCCAGGCAAGCACTTACTCTACTGAGCCATCGCCCTGGCCCGCTAAGACGCTTAGTGTACTAAGGAATGAACTGCTAAAAATCCTCTACCAAAATCTAATTATGTTCTGTCAGTGTGCCACTGTCATCTGCTTTCTGGTTAAACACAATGTCATATTACTTGCCAGATAGTTTACCAGTATTTTTTTGTTAAGCAGGACAAAAGTCTATAATCTCATAAGGCTAGTAGTTCTAAGTAAAACTTTGGAACTCTTTTGAAGGGGAAGTTGTGTTAAGTTTTGAAAATCTTCTCCAGGCACTGATGGGCTGGATATAGGCTGATAGTAATGTTTTTCCTCACTACTAATTTCCCTTTTTTTTTTTTTTTTTTTCACTTAGACTGTTGGTCACACTCATAACTCTACTCTCCAGTGCCTCACTGGAAGCACTGAGATGGGAATCAGAAATTTGGTACGAGGACACAGCACTCATTCTAACTCCTAAATTCATGTTAAGCCATACCTTGGACCTTTTAATCTGATCACCCTGGGTAGCTTCCCTGGTAGTTTATTTTTATAGTACTTTATTCTTAACCTATTCTTTTTGTCTTTCTTTTTTTTTGAGGACTGGGGATTGAACTCAGGCCCTTGTGTTTGCCAAACAAGCGCTTATTCTACTGAGCTTTCTCCCCGGCCCCTCTTAACCTTTTCTTAATCCCAGCCCTTTTATATTTTGAGACTTGTCTCTGGCTAAGTCACTACATTGCACCAGTTGGACTCAAAGTTTTCTATCTTCCTGCCTCATCCTCCCAGAGTGTTGGGATTTACAGGCAAGTGTCCCTGTGCCTGGCTGAATTATTCCTTTTTCTTTTGGTACCAAGGATCAAACTCGGGACCTTGTGCTCGCCAAGCAGGTGCTTTGAATTATTTGTTTTTGAATCTCCATATCTAATAAGCATGGGGCATTACTGTTTAGTCCACAGCGGTAGACATGGGTCCCTCTTGGTGGTCCTGGGTTATGCAGGGGAGCAGAGTGCTACTTCTATGAGGGACAAGCTCTTTGCGGCCTGGAAGACACTAGATTTTCATCTTGGATCAGAGTTATTGCTGATTTTTCTGGTCTGGTAACTGTTATGGTACCTTGTATGTTAATAATTTGAATCAAATATTCCCCAAGAAACTTGGAGAGAAAACTGTATATTAAAGAAGCAGGCATCGAAACTAATGGTGTGTTTTCCTCACTCTTGTTCATGCTAAGTAAAACCAAGGTATTCTGGGTCTGTGGACCAGAAATCAATGGGTACGGCTTTAAATAAGAAATTTTAAGGGGTGGTGAGGTAGGTAGCTCAGTGGGTTAAGCGCCTGCTTAGGCAAGCACAGGGACCAAGGTTCGATCTTCAGCACCACGTCACACTGTCCCTGCCCTCGGTGCATGCCTGTAATCCCAGTGCTGGGGAGGCTGAAAACAGGAGGATCATTATGAGGCCCAGCTGCATAGTGAGACCCTGTACCAAATATGTAATTTAAAAGAAAAAAAAATTAGCAATTACGAATCAACGGTGCCTCCGCACCCTGGCTGGAGCAAATTGAAGGGGGGGGGGCGGCAGAGGCCAGACCAGGCCTCCCAGCCAGAGGCGAGTGCCCCCGGCAGCTTTCACTGTCTCTCGGACACGTTTCCAGTGAGGCCTCAAGGATCAGGGAGAAGCAAGGTGGAGGCAGGGCAGTGACGTACAGGCACCCGGAGCCACAAGACAGCAGTGGTTTGTTCAGTTTCCTGTAGGAGGATCTGTAAAGCTCTAATACTGGTTCTGTTACTAGTTTTTCTCAATCCAATGACATTTAATCGGATTTTTCAGGAGGGGAAAAAAAATTCAATACACAATCCCATATTTTGAAAGCTGCAGTCACAAGGAGACCCTTTCAAAATCTATAAATCTGATACTAATATAACAAACCAAAAAGGATCACTTTCAGGTACGAGCTCTCAGAACTGTTTCTTCGAGGTTTTGCGGGCCATTCTGGTGCTGCGGTGAGGTGGTGCGAGTCCAGTCCCCCAGGCTTTGCGGCTGACCAGACCCTGTCATAGGTGGCGGTCACTCTGTGTGTTCTGTGGCAGCTGCTGCTTTCCTTGATGCGGGAGACCGACGTCTGTCTTCATTCTTGTTCTTCCCGTGCACTCAGGGCCGCCCATCCGGAGACGCCTTTATCCAGATGAAGTCTGCGGACAGAGCGTTTATGGCGGCGCAGAAGTGTCATAAAAAAACCATGAAGGACAGATACGTTGAAGTCTTTCAGTGTTCAGCTGAGGAGATGAACTTTGTGTTAATGGGGGGCACTTTAAATCGAAATGGCTTGTCCCCACCGCCATGTAAGTTACCATGTAAGTTTTTCTTGGGTCTTGGCTCTGTTCTACGCTGTACGCTGGTAGGTGCTTCAGCTGCTTTGGTCACTTTCTGTGCCCCTGGTTCTTTTGGAGGCAGGCAAAGTGGTTCCACGAGGGCTTTCCCACCTGAAATCAGTAGTATCTGCAATCATTTAAGACCTTGATTGTGGACACCTGTAATTAGAGTCGCTGCACATACCTCCTTTTAAATTACATTCTTGCTTTTCCAGTGGTAAGCAGTTGATTTCTGAAGCTTAGTGTGCTCCCAATAAGCACTGACTCTGAGAGACAACCTGGATATGGAGATTTTGTAATACGCATTTGAAGGTCAAGTAATTTAAGTACAGCTGGGGCCTGGGAGATAGCTCAGTAGAATAAGCGCTTGCCTGGCAAGTGCAAGATCCTGAGTTCAATCCCCAGTACCACAAAAAAACACAGCTGGATCGCTCTCTTTTTTTTCTTTTTAAACAACTTAAGGTTTTTTGGGGTTTTTTTGGTGGCCAACTCAGCCCACCCTGGGGGCAGGGCTGGCACAGCATGTGGTGCCAAGGGCCAGGGATCAAACCATGGTCCTCCCTTCGTGCTTGCCTTTAAGCAGCTGCTTTAGACCACTGAACTATCTTGCTGGCCCTAACACCTTAAGGTGGTTGGGGTTTTTTGTTGTTGTTCTTTTTTTTTTTTTTTTTTTTTAAGTATAGGGTCTACAGTGTCTCACTACACAGATCAGACTCGTAACGATCCTCCCGTTTTCATCTTCCCAAGCTCTGGGATTACAGGTGTACGCCACCTTGCCTAGTCTCAGTGCTTCCTGGGGGCTGGGCCCAGCTGGGTTGGCACAGCATGCTGGGGATTGTACCCTGGCCCCTGCATCTGCCTAAGCAGGCGCTTTAAACTGCTGAGCTATCTGGCTAGCCCTCCTAACACCTTAAGTTTTAAGAAGGATGGTTTGATGCCCATTTTTCATTTTTCACTTTTTGAGCATCAACTGTTTTTTCAAAATGATAACTAGGGCAGCATTCCTGCTGCTGCTCCCGAAGATATCTGGAATGAGCAAGTCAGTTAAAAAAAAAAAAGTATATATGTATACATATATGCGTAAATGAATCAGCCAAAGTTTCCTCCATTGGCTCGCAGGATCAGTGCTTAGTTGCAAGCCATGCTCTTGCTCATCAGCAACTGGGTGTGAGCCATCTGTGGTCCTGCTGGAGAGGAATAAGCCCTGTAGGCCAGAGACTGAGTTCTAGTTAGTGACTATGGAACGGCGAACTTCATGTTAAAACTCAAGTCTCTGCGCAGTCTTTACCTTGAAGTTAGACATACCTTCCTAGGCATGTTGGGTATGTTTGAAGAGCCTGGTACTTGGAATGCGGCTTAGGGATGACTGAGAAAGTAAAGTGCATTCATGTGCTTGAATCCCACTAAGTGGGCGGTATTAGGAGTTTAGTTTTACTTTGTGGTAAAGAGAAAACTACCAACCAATCTGTTTGATAAAGTATTATTTGTAGAGCGTTTGGTGGGGCTTAATCCTTTTTCCCCTTGGAATTCCTAAATGCTCATGTTCCATTTACCTGCTGCTTGCTGTTTGGTGACTGAGAGTTAATGAGAGTCAAGATTTGAAAATTTATGATTGTTTAAGAAAGTATCATGTAATGATGGTTTGCGTGACTGTTGCCTCCAAACCCCTGAGTGTCGGTAGGTTTTATGGTGTGTGTCCTTAAGGACAGTCTGTCAAGCTTTGGGAGATGGCGCCATTTCTTCCATGCATACGGCCCAAATTCTGCTGCTGTGACAGTCTTTTGCTGCTTTTTCTTCTTGGTAGAAGCCTGAATGTAATGAACTCTCTTCATTTCCTACCTTTTCTCCCCACAAGATCTTAGTAAAGAAAAATTTTAAATGTAGGTTGACCAAATAATACATTTGTGTATCTTAGATTGTCTTTAGTACTTTCCAAAATCCAAAGACAAACTGTAACACAAAAATTGGCCATTTGACTTTTTAGCAGGAGTTTACTCTTTTAAATACCAGAAATTGTTTATGCATGCTAATATTATGCCTGCTGTATGGAATCATTATTCCTGCCAACATACCTACCTATGGCTACATATAAACCACTTAAGAGAAATTATATATTTTAAAATTTAATCTGGGACTGGAGGTATAGCTCAGTGGCATAAACGCTTGGCAGGCAAGCACACAGTCCTGAGTTCCATCCCCAGTTCTACCAAAAAAACTAATGATAAATAAGGATTTAATCTCAGAATCCAAAGCAGTTAAAATAGTGGTAGAGTGACATTCCCCATTGACGCTCCTCCCTCAAAAAGCTCCTAATGTTTCTTTTATATTTTGAAATTTGTCACTTTAATTTATCTACCAGAAGATCTTAGGATCAACTTCATTTGTGTGTTCTGTGCTTATACACGCTGGGTTTTCTTTCATGACTAAGGATAGCCATGCAAGGCCAGGCATGGGGGGCGCGAGCCTCTAATCCAGCCCTTGCAAGACTGAAGAAGCATTGCTTTGGGTTCAAGGCAGCCTGGGCTGTGTATACAGCATGCACCTTATCAAAAAAACAACAAAAAAAAGAAGCAATAGTTTCATTTGAGGAATGTCCAAATCTAAACAACCTATTCAACCTAAGGCCAAGGGTCATAATTTTAAAAATGAGAAGTCTCTAACCTCTGATTGGGCAAGTATAAAAGAGGCGCCCAGAAGATGAGCCTAAGATGAGCCCATTGATCTTTGACTTGTGCACACACATGTAACTGACTGGCTCGCCCTACAAGGGTAGATGTTCATAAGAACAGAAACCAATGGGAAGTCATCTTGGAGATTGTCACATGAAAAAAATTACCCTTTTGTCTCCATTCTTGGAAAATTTGGCACTTCTGGAAATGAAACATGAAGTCCAGGACCCCGAAATCAGTCGGTTCCTCAGTGAGTTGCGTTTTGTGGAGACGATCTGATACTTGTGTTTATCCCCCCTGTGAGAGTTGGTGGCTGGCAGTCACTGCACCCTAAGGGGGAAGATGTTGAATAACAGGAAGAAAAAAGCCCACTACTCCATGGTGCTAGGGAATGAAGTCCAGGGCCCATTGCCTGCCAAACATGTGTTCTACCACCCTGCTGCACAGTCAGCCCCCTACTTTCTAATATGAGCTACTTTTTTATCAACTGATTCCTGGGCAGACCTGTGCATCTATTGCTTTAGGGCTATTTCCAAGATGGATTTTTTTTCCAGGTCTGAAGATACAGATTAGCTTCAAACACCATATTCTGGATGGCCTTTAGGTGAGAATAAGGCAGAGCCGAGCCGTTCCCGTACTTGTCCACTTGGGTACGCGGTGTGCTTTGGCCTTACACCTGGTGAAGAGTGTTTTCTCCTAACCTTTTCCATGTCGTGCTGTACGGCAGGATAGATAACATCTGTTTAATCCAAAGAAGGTTGCTTGGGATGATAAGAAGAAATGTGCTGGTTTTTCCTTTAAGATGTGCAGAGGTGGCAGTGATATTGCTTTTAAGCGCGCATGCATGCGTCAGCTGTTCCCAAGTATCTCAGAGACACTCTCTTTGCTCCTTTAGGCCTGTCTCCTCCCTCCTACACATTCCCAGCTCCTGCAGCGGTCATTCCTACCGAAGCTGCCATTTATCAGCCCTCTGTGCTTTTGAATCCACGGGCGCTGCCGCCTTCCACTGCCTACTACCCAGCAGGCACTCAGCTCTTCATGAACTACACAGCCTACTACCCCAGGTAAGGCCTGCGCAAAGTGGAGACAAGAGGCCCACACAAAGGACTCCTTTGATAGCGAGTGCTCCTGCTCACAAAAGGAGATTGTCTGCCCTGCTGAAGGTTAGCACGGCAGGCTGTGGTTCTGTTCACATCTCTGACCAAGAAGTTTATTTCATGACAAACTGAACAAAGTTAGTTTTTAACCATATATGGGCTGGATAATTTTCTAGTTGCCTATGGATGCAGCATCGCTCTTTTAGTCCTATTACAGGGCCCCAGGTGAATAGCACTGTAAGTAGCTGTGTTAAGGTAGCAATATTGTGGGAATGAACCACAGAACAGAAAACCCCATAATGGGAACAGCTGTATTTTTAAGTTGCATGAACTCGAGTCAACTCACAGTACGTAAAAACTGTTGCTTTAAGCTGGTGCTGTGGCACACCTGCAATCACAGCCACATGGGAGGCTGAGGCAGGAAGACCGCAAGTTTGAGGCCTGGGTAACAGGGCAGGAAGGGAGAGACTGGGAGTGCAGCTCTGGGGTGGAGCGCATGCCTGTTGTGTGTGAGGCCCTGGGTTCACTCCCCAGTATGTACTGCAAAAACAATTGCATCCAAAAACTGCTGCTTTATGTTTCCCAGGGTTTACATTCTTTTGCTCTTAAATCTTTACTGTAAATGAATGCAGAATTAAATTACTTAGTGCTTTCTTATATTTTAAGTCTTGAGTTCTTTTTAGTTACATTCAGTTATCTAGGTAGTATCTCAGAAAGACATTATACTCAGTCTGGGAACCAAGTGATAGGAGTTTTCATTGAATTACTTGTGGGACAAATCACTTCACATTTTGGGATCTTGTAAAACTATGGGGCTAACCAAATTTTTGCAGTCCCCTTCACGTCTGTGATTAAATTGAATACGCAAGGAATGACCTTTTTCTTTTTAAGTACTTTAATAAGTTGTCTTTGTTTAGCCTGGTACCAGTTCACTTTATTTTTTATTTTTATTTTTTTTTTGCGGAACCGGGGATTGAACTCAGGCCCTTGTGCTTGCCAGGGAAGTGCTTATTCCACTGAGCCATCCCCCCGGCCCCACCAGTTCACTTTAATTAATTCATTCTTGGTTTTGGAATCAAACTAAGGACCTTGTGCTTGCCAGGCAGGCGCTGTGCCAGTGCACTACAGTCCCAGCCCTCACTTCATTAATCTATCTGCAGAATTGGGCTCTAAGTTTCTCATGGATTAAGTTTTCTCTCTCGCTTTCTTTTTTTTTTTTTTTTTTTTTTTTTGGTAGAAGTGAGGATTGAACTCAGGCCCTTGCGTTTGTCAGGCAAGCACTTATTCTACTGAGCCATCTCCCTGGCCCCTTAAGTTTTCTATAAGTAGTACTGCCCACAATTTAAAAAATTAAGCAACAGTAGTAACAAAACAAAACCAAAAAAATGCATTTGTATCAAACCTTGTTTGTTTGGTTTGGGGTTTTTTTGAGATGGGGTCTTACTGTGTGGTGTAGGCTGGCCTTGAACTCCTGAGGCTCCTCCGGCCTCGGCCTCTTGAGTGCTGGGACCGTAGGCCTGTACCACCCTGCCCAGATTTTTATTTTTTTTGCCTAGTTGGACTAAACATTTGTTAGGAGCTTCTCATAGTCAGTGCTAGTGAAACTATTCTTTATTTCACTGGGGAAGAAGAATAGGAAGAAAGCACGACAGCTGTCAGCTGGCTGTTGTGTGCAGGTCTGAAAACACGTGACTCACTGAATGTTCCTGGTTGAGCCCCAAAGCAGGCACCTGCTCACCACTCCTCTGTCGCCTTCTCTGGACCAGGGACAGTCCCGGGCTGTGGAGGTCTGACTTATAAGGAAGGTCTTTGTTGGCCTGTGTCCACGCCTCTTGTGCAGAGGATCTGGTCTCAGCTGTGCCTGGCTCCGGGGACTCAAAGGAACCTGCTATGAAAGAGACCCAGAGCCTTGAGTGGCAGCCCCCAAATGGGAGGAATTGACAAGTATAGTTTAATTGCTTCTGTAATTCGGGGCTCCTACCTTAGGTTAATTTTTCTTTCAACTGTAGCCTAAAAGATGATGATGTGCGCTTGATGAGTATGGAGGTATGGTGAGTGAGAGCCCTGTTTGTGTGCTGCCTGCTCTGGAAAGGTCTGGCATCACTAACTGGATAGTATGTGTGTGGGTTCTAAATAAGGACTGTCCACATCTTTGTTGTTGTTCCTAAGCTTACCAGTATTCCCAAGAGAAGATGGGTCTAATTTACTTCATTGTAACTTTTTACTGATGTCCCCAAAGTAAAAATACATCACAGTTTAATGACTCATTTTTGATATCTAGCCCCTCTCCCCTTTTTTGATGGTACTAGCGATTGGACCTTTGTTTTGAGCTATGTCCCCAGTCTTTTAAAATTTTTTATGTTGAGACAGGGTCTTCCTAACTTGCCCAGACTGGGCTCCAAAATATGTGAGTCTCTTGCCTCAGCCTCCCCGGCTGCTGGGATTATGAGCTTCTACCACCATGCCTCACTACATCTCAATTTTTAACTTTTCTCTGTTGAGCAAACCTCAGATTGATCTTTAAATAAATACTTAATTATATTTCAATAGGGGGACTTTACAAAAGTAAAATTTCAAACTGAATGCCATGTGCATTATATTTATACTAACGTTACTTTTGGAGGGCCAGGAATACTAGGGGGTTCGACCCAGGGTCTTTCCATGTTTTCCGCACAGGTGTATGTCCACACTTTCTTTCCCCGCCCCACCCCCTTTTTTGGGGGGGTGAAAGGCGCTACATATTTTGTATGTAGTATATATGTAGATAATATATATTTTAGACTAGACAAAAGTGCAAGCTTTCATGTATAAAGTAACTATGAGAATTTGTGTTATCTTGTGATTTTAGTTCATACTATTATAACACGTTCTTGAAACTTTAAGACAGTAAAGTGTTTCCATGACACAACAAATAAAAGCTTAACTATATGAGATGATGGATATAGTGGGTCTATCATTCTCATCACTTAATAATGCAGACATCAGACCCTAAATACACGAGGTAATTTTCAGTCACATCAAACATATATTTTGGGGCTAGAGAGATGGCTCAGTAAAATAACCGCTTGCCTAGCAAGCTCAAGGGCCTGAGTTCAATCCCCGGTTCTGCAAAAAAAAAAAAAAAACATATTTTAAAAAATACTACAGTGGAAATTAGAAACTCATACCTGATGTCATAAAATTACAAATGCTGAAATATGTAAAATTTACCTAAAGAACCAACCAGAAGCCCATGACTATTTAGAACAGTACAGCAGACCCCATACCATGTACATGCTGTTTCTGTTCAGTTTAGAACACCATTTAGTCAAAGTTAAAAACAACCAAGTGATTTTCCAACATTCCTACCTTTCTAATTGTAGTTGCGAAGGATCAAGGATTTTTTTTTTTTTTTTCCAGAACCAGGGATTGAACTCAGACCCTTGTGCTTGCCAAGGAAGCACTTATTCTACTGAGCCATCTCCCTGGCCCCAGGATCAAAGACTTGAAACGTTTTCTGAATTCCTTACATACAAAGCATTTCTCTCCAAATAATTATCTTCCTTACTGTCAGGACTTAGGTTATCATCAGGACTTGTTAAGGTTTCCCCACATTCTTTATATTCATATGGTGTTGCTCCAAAAGGTGCAGGTGACTCATCCAAATGGTACAGGGGTGTCTCCATACGGCATCTCTTCGGTGTTTATTAAGGCCCTAGTGCTCAGTGAAGGCTTTTCCACAATACTTACTTACATAAGGTCTCTCTCCAGTGTGATCTTTTCTTTTTTTAAGATTTTTTTTTTTTTTTTGTGGCCGGCTCAGCCCACTCTGGGGGCAAGGCTGGTATGGCATATGGTGCCTGGGATTGAACTGCAGTCCCTGTGTACTTGCCTAAGCTTACCTGAGCAGGGGCTTTAGACCACGGAGCTATCTCACCAGCCCCGCCACCACCCCTTTCTTAAAATTTTATTTTATTTTGAGACAAGTTCTGGCAAAGTTTCCACCTCGTACAGCTCAGAGTCAAACTCAAGGTTCTCCTGCCTCAGCCTCAGCCTCAGAGCTGGTATTATAGGCATGAGCCACCAGGCCCACTTCTGAATTATTTGTTTTGTTTTGAAAATGGGTCTTCAAAAAAGGAAAAAAGGGGTCTTTTTTTTTTTTTTTTTTTTTTTTCCTGGAACCAGGGATTGAACTCAGGCCCTTGTGCTGGCTTGAGTTGTGGGGATCGAACCATAGCAACCTGAGCCTGACTGCTGCTTTGTTGAAGCAGCCACTTAAACAACTGAGCTACAGGGCAGGACCCCAAAAAAGGGGTCTTACTAAGTTACCCAGTCTGGCCTTGAGCTCAAGATCATAAACGTTGGGGCCAGGGAGGTGGCTCAGTGGAAGGGCCTGAGTTCAATCCCCAGTTCCGCCAAAAAAAAGAACATAAATGTTTACATGTATTTTTGTCTGCTCTCTGAGAGGGAAGATTGATGTGCCAAAATAGAGAAGGGACAATTTTCAGAGAAGCTCTGTAATGTGTTTTTTGATTGAATTTTTATTTTACATATATATTATTTATTTGGACACTGGAGGGTTTTTGTTTGTTTGTTTGTTTTTTTGTGGAACTGGGGATTGAACTCAGGCTCTTGGGCTTGACAGGCAAGCACTTATTCTACTGAGCCATCTCCCTGGCCCCTGGACACTGGAGATTGAACCTAGAGCATTGTATGTGTTCACTTGTGCTCTGCCCGGCCTTTACATTAAAATTTTATATTCCCTTCACATTTCATTGTTTTTGGTACCAAGGGTTGAACCCAGAATCTTATCACTGAACTACATTTTTAAAAATTTAATGTCTATTTAATTTTTATTATTTTTTTATTTTTATTTTTTTTTGTAGAGCCAGGGATTGAACGCAAGCCCTTGGGCTTGCCAGGCAAGCACTTATTCACCTGAGCTATCTCCCCAGCCAAAAATTTTTTAAATGTTTAAAATTTTTATT